TTGCCGCCGGCCGCTCGCTGGGGGGGGGGCAAGCTGCTGGTGGCCCTGAGCTGCAGGGGCCCTGGACCTTCCCCTCACAGTGATGGCACCCCCCCAGGCTGCACCTGCCTGCTAGCACCACACCTGGGGCACTGCCATTGCAGAGAGAAGCACCGGGCACCTCCGCAGCTCAGAGGCTGAGCAACCCAGAAGCAGCTTGTATGGGCAGGCTCCGCTGAGCAAAAAGAAAAAAGAAAAAAGCAGCTAGGGCCTGGTCCTTTCATTTTTTTTTCTCCTGGAGCCTGCCCACCTCTCCCTGGCTGCGGGGCAAGCACCGCCACCATGGAGGGAAGGACCAGGCTCCCCCACAGCTCAGGGGCCACTCGGCCCACCGGCAGCTCTCCCCCTGGCTATGAGAAGCAGGCAGGCAGGCTCCATGGGGGGCGGAAATAACCGGCCCCTCGCTGCTTTTTTTTTTTTCTCGGCGGAGTCCGCCCACGTGAGCTGCTGCTGCGTCGTACAGTCCCCGAGCTGTGGGGAGGCCTGGTGCTTCCCTCCATGGTGGCAGTATACCCCAGGACCACCCGGGCAGGGTGCTAATGGGTGGGTGCTGCCCCAGGTTGCAGGCAGCACCCTCCAGATCCACCAGTGTATGGGGTGCTGGAAGCTCGGGTGTGCTCAGGAAGCTCAGGCTTAGTGGGCTTTCAGCACCGCATGCACTGTCCCCGCTGCCTTCCTGCCACCTGGGACCACCAGGGAATGGGCTGGCTTGCCCCTGGGGCAGTGCAGAAAGGTGGCAGGAGGGTGGCTGGGTGTGCTGGGAGCCAGAGAAAGCGGCAGGGATGGTGCACGGGCCTGGCAAGCCTGAGCTGCCCTGAGCATGCCTGGGCTTCCAGCAACCTGAGCACCATTGCAAACTAAAATACATTGGATGTGTTTTACTGGGCTATGTTACAAAGTCATGCAACACAAAATACGCTGCCGTAGGTGTAAGCAGTGACACCATTAAAGAGGTGCAAAAAGGCAATTAAGCTGCTTTACAGGCCAATTTTGTCATGTGTACAAGCGCCCATGATGTCATCAGGTTCATCAACAGTTTTGGTTTTTTTTATCAAGTAACTAGCTTAGACATAACCACACCAACCAGGCAGTCTCCCCAACCAGCAACTTTCCCAAAAGCACAGTTGTAAGCAAAGAAATGAAAAGGTGTTTGAGTGCATTGCAGAAGGAATAACTAATGAAGAGTGTCAGTGTTTTTAGGTTTTGGAAGGATCCTGATTTTCTGTGCGGGGGTCCTGGGCAGTTATGCGAGTCAGGCACTTACAAAGAATTTCAAGGTGCATACCCAAAATCACTACTGAATCATCACACCTCCCTCATTTTTAAAATAATTTTGCAGTCTGAATAGAATATGTAGCAATGCATTCATGATGGATATTTATTTTGGATTTACCTTGCATAAGATGCCAAAAAAATCTTGATGTTTAGTGGGGAGGAACACAACTGACATCTTATCTGCTCCATGATAAATTGGTTATGAACTGATTCTGCAAAGTAAAACCTACAGCATGCTCACTTTCCTTCAAAGAGGAAAACAAATCTGGTTTTGTGATCAGAAGATTCCCATTAATAATTCTATGAACAAAAAGAGGTTAACAGAACTTATGCTGGGATTATTTTATTTTCAAATTACAGTGAGATATAGACTTCCTATGCTCAACCCCCATCATATTTACACCGTCAGGAGTTTCAAGCACAATGCAAAAACATACCTTAAGAAATGTTTTTCACTCACCCTTTGGCCAGTGTTGCTATGCCAACATCCGTTAACTTCATTCCTACACCTAAAAGACATCAAGAACACAAGGAGCTTGCATTACACCGGGCTTTTTAGGCAGGTTGTCAGATCTGAGAACTTTATATAATTGTGCAAAGAACTATTATTTATCAATTGCTATTTTTTTTAGTAATTCTCTCCATATGTTGTTATATTGTCAGAATATGTTAGCATTTGCACTTTAAACACAGGGTGCCTTCTGTACCATTAACTGCACTAGTAGCTGTCAGCATTATTCCAGAGGGTCTGAGATAGCAGGGTGGTGAATGGATTGCTAAGGCACAGTATGTTTCCTATGCTGGAGAGTAATTGGGGGTTCACTTAGGCTGTAGGACCATAAAGTAAAGTCCCAAACTGGCATTTTTTAAATCAAGTTATCTGTGAGGTTACTTATGGCTCCTATATTTGGGGGTTTGGGGAACCCAGAGTACCCTATTAAATGGTGCTCTTGGGGAGGGATTCTCTAAAGCACATCCATCCACCCCAGCTGACACACACCAACCTTGGAAGCTCAATGGTGAAACCACTCTGGGGTTTTGGCCACTCAAGACTTATGTCTCTGGAGAGCTTGATGGCAGCAGTGGGGGAAGCCCCTGGACTTGCTTCGTCATGGGATTGAGAGGACAGGGCCTCTGAGAGCTCCAGTCCCCAAAAGTGCTGAAGAAGCAGTGCAGACATACTCTAGGGTGCTGACCGTGTTGAGACCACCATGGATTTCAGTGGGGAAGCTGAATGTTTGCTTTGCCCATCCGTCTGGAAACACTTTCTGGTCTGTGTTTAGTGATTTTTTTGGTGGCTAACAGGTACTAAATTAAACTCTCTGCTTGGGGTTTCTGAACAGCCCATCATGCCTCTTCCTTGAGCATCTCCTTGCATTTAATTCACATTATGGGTTGAAGCAAGTAACCCTCGCACATAGCTTGGTAGATTTACGTGCCAAGATGCCAGTTTGGGAGTTCGCCTTCTGGTTCCACAGCTGTACAGTGGTTCTGCGGTGAGATGACAATGCAGGAAGCCTCTTTC